TGCACTGCAGTGGGTCCTCAGGTGAACACGGCTGAGCGTGGCCTTGATCACCTCCACGACGGCGGCGGCACGCCCGGGTTGGCTCTTCCCCGTCCTGGGCGCGCGCCTCGGCTAGCCAACCTGCCCAACCTCCGCGAAATGATCTGTTGCAACCTCCCCGGGCCAGAGGCTTTGGCTGCCTGTAAGTCCCTCCGCGTCCTGGACCTCATCATCCAGACCAGCAGCAAGTAGAGGTCGGCCGCCGCGCGGGCCGCCACGCTCCTACGCCAGGCCAAGGACCTGGGCAAAGTGTGCTGTGGCCGGTGCGGGTGACGGGGCAGGCGGCGTCGACGTGGACATCGCCATGCAATGCATGACGTTGACCTCATCCGAGCCGTCGAGCGAGAAGCTCACCGCCCACAACTTCGGCGGGGAAGTACACGACTGACCACTTCCCCCAGCCGCAGTCGCTGTTCGACGCGGGCGCGCTGCCCTCGCTGCCGGCTGTGCGGTACTTGCAGGTGGACCTGACGGAAGCGGTCGAGCTGCTGCTGCCCATCTCCCCGCCGGTTACGGCGCCGGGGCAGGCGACGTCGACGTGGACCTCGTCATGCAATGCATGGCGTTGACCTCGTCCGAGCCGTCGAGCGAGAAGCTCACTGCCCACAACTTCAGCGGGGAAGTACACGATTGACCACTTCCCCCAGCTGAAGTCGCTGTTTGGCGCGCAGTCTTCGCTGCAGGTTTTGTCCCCCCCCCCCCCTCTCACACACACAACGCGAACAAGCCGACGCCCATAGCATGGCCATGGACATGATCTTCAACAACCAGGGCCCCTGCGCGCCTCCTGGTTGCGGACGTGCAGTTTTTGCTGCCCCTGCCTGCTTTCGCTTCGGCCGTTCTGGACGTGGCAAGGTGCTTTACTGAGAAGATGTAGTGAAATTCGTATCTAAGGTACTGTTATGTATTGGTGTCTGTGGGTTTGACGTGAAGTGCATTCTGTCTGGTGAAGCGTAGCTCCTTTGCAAGGACTCGGTGTACAAGTCTCCCTGGCCCACGTTGCACTCCTCTTTCCAGTTTTTACCTGAATGTAGACATGACTCTTGTAAGTATACATTGGTTCACTTTGTTCTTGATATGGAATGTTAATGTTGCAATCTTTTTGAACTAATTTATTTCCTTCTGTGTGTCTGTAGGCATTCCCAAGATATCAAGGCTGTTTCTTTTCAAGATTGGTTCCATACCTCATCGACCCAAGATTTTAGTATATAACATAGAACAAGCAGGCCCGCCCTTCCGCCAAACGAAGCTGCCAGCTCCGCTTCGCTCCGCCGGCAACTCCGTTCGGCAGGGGCCGGGCCTGCTTGGCCTGCCGGCGGCGATCCATTTCTGTCACGCGGTTTGCCGAAGAACATGATCGAATGATGTAGCGGGCCTTGGGCCCGCTTAAACCCGTCATCTTTGAGTTTCCCCAAAGACTCGAGAAAGGGGTGAGGATGTCTATAATTCGTTCAAAGATAAGCTCAAAGAGCACAAAGTCATTGGAGAAGACGGCACTATCACAACAGAGGATCGCAGTCAGACCTATGTTCACGTTTTGGCTGAATTTGCTGAGTACGCCAAAGTGAAAAAGAGCGACATCCGATGCGGGGAGGCATTCCGTAAAAGAAATCAGCGGCCTAAAGAACTGTTTTCAAACTGGTTAACAGACCTCAGAATACTAATTAAACCCTGTGAATTTGGGACCCAAGAGCTAGAGGATTCCCTCCTGAGAGACAGACTGGTGCTAGGCTCGGCAAATGTTCGTCCAAAGAGGGACCTGCTGGGCACCAACCTCACACTTGCCGCAGTCATTGAACAGAGCAATGGTGCCAAGATGAAACAAAAACAAGAACCTGACGAGGCTGAAGTGGACACAGCTCAGCATGACCAGTGGAATGAAACCCGAAGGCCTTCTCGACAGAATTACAGAGGCAGCGAGGTTTTAGACATTATACTAAGCTAATCGAGGCTTTAAATTTCATACTCAAATGAAGCGATGTTAATACCACATAAGAGCGATAAAATTTGGGTCACTGTTCTCTAGGGAGGTGCGAAAGTCCGCTTTTTTCAGTCGCCGAATCGTAATAGTGCAGGAAAGTTGCCTTTTCACATCCAAAATCTAGACGTAATTTTATTTTCGCGATTGGAATGAATCTTGAACTCGAGATTTGAGCTTGAAGTTTAATGTAAGGTTCTTATGGGCATTTATGTCAAAAACAGAAAATTTGGCCTGGACCGCAAAGGTTTCGTCACAGACAAAATCTATGGCCATATCCGTGATCTACGTAGAAAAACGATTCAGACCACGTTTCAAATACCTTACTCCGTCATCTAATAACAGTTTTAAAGTGAGTAAATTAAGCCACTTTTACTAAAAAACCATTCATTTTTGGAAAATTTATTCGGAAATTAGAGGGAGGAGCATGGCATGCGGAACGTCTCCTAGCTCGGTTTCTTACGTAGATCACGGATATGGCCTTAGATTTTGTCTGTGGCGGAACCTGTGCGGTCCAGGCCAAATTTTCTGTTTTTGACATAAATGCCCATAAGAACCTTATATTAAACTTCAAGCTCAAATCTCGAGTTCAAGATTCATTCCGATCGCGAAAATAAAATTACGTCTTGATTTCGGATGTGAAAAGGCAACTTTCCCGCACTATTACGATTCGGCGACTGAAAAAAGCGGACTTTCGCACCTCCCTACTGTTCTCGCTCCCTGGAGAGCGAGAATCTTTGCTGCAGGATTTCTAGTTTCACTTTTGTGTTCTCCTCCTGGAAAAAAAATGTTCTATTGCGAGTGTGTTTGAACGAAATGTTTTGCTAACAATTACACTTTTCTTGTACATTTACATCAAAGTAATACCAAGTAGTTTCTGCTGTGGGCCAATAAAAGTCGAATACCACAAGTATCGCAGGGGCCAATAATGAATACAACAATTTTTGTTTATTAACAGCTATCGATTTAAAAATGCTTGTTTTTTTACAACATTTTTTAACACTACAGGAGTATACGTGGTGCTCACGCCGAGGCTGAGTACACCCAGCGTACACCCAAGAATTATTAGAAAGGATTCAACAGTTTTAGTCTATCTCCAATTTTACTTAAGTTTTGTTCTTGTTTAAGGGCATCCCCCTGGTGCTCTTTCTACGTGCGTTAAGCCCGATAAGACCAGAGCTGGGTATGGCTATCTTTGTGAAACACCAAAATAGCCCCAAACGACCATTAGGGTATTTGGTGGACATTTATTTGTGGACGGCTTTTGGCAGAAAGCTCCTATTGACACTTAGGGGAAGATCCATTCTTTCTTTCGGCAACCGGTCCTGATTTTCCCCGTAGTGGTGTATGTGTTGTTGCTTTTTGAAATTGGACATTTCCACGTTGCGTCTTATTTAGGAGAACAGAGAACACCAGCCCCTTTAAAGGTAGCCTTGGCTGTTGTTAGCATAGTTAAACGCTTTAAGGTTCAGTGTGCTACAATGCAGATTTCGTATTTCAGATGAAGACCGACTTTGCTACTCCACTTCAGAAGCTGTTTTTTATGCATGCGCCCAACCAAGAAACAGTTAATGAGGTACTAAATAGCTATTAGTGCGCGTTACAGGCTGTGCATTATCTACACCCATAAAATTGTTTCCTAGATAGAACAAGGAAATTGTGATGTTGTTCTTTAAAAAACGTCATTCGTTTAACGATATGTACGCCAGACCACGTCTCGCGAAACAGGCTTTGCGATATCTCACGAAACACTGTTACGTTGCTACGCGCCTGGCATACATTTTCCTAGGCCTGCGGCGCTGACACCTGACTCGAGCAAAATGCAGAGTCGTAATCAGGCCTTCAGCTCCTAAAGTCACATATTTTGCTCCTCGGGGTTTTATTTTGACGAGTTACCCCACTGGAGACCATCAAATATTTAAGAAAAAAAACATTCAAATTTTTGGGGTCATTTCCGAGTGGATACCGCCCCCTGGTGCCTAAACGGTCAGAAGTAGAGCCAAACGGACGAAATTTTGGCTCTCTCGTTTCTATTGTGACGAGTTACCTCTTAGAAAGATGAGAAAAAAATACTTTTCGGAAGAAATTTTTTGGTCTTTTAGATTTTGATTTTCTAGACAGGTCATTTTTAGCAGATGATACCTTAAAAACATTTTGACTAAACGTAAAGAAAAGATAAGTAAATTTAAGGTATCAGCTAGCTTTTACTCTCGAAACGGCAAGAGAATCAAGCGGAGACCAGAAAACAATTTCTTTAGCGCTGGCGGAACCGTGTCCGGGTGGGTGGGTGCCTGAGTGTCGCTTCAGGCCTCTACCCTTACCCTGCTTAACAATACTATAGGCTCCCCGTCCCCCTCCCTGCACAACAATACTATCCTACGCCGGCTGCGCCGGCCCCTGTGCCCGCGCTTTTCAACGCCGCTTGTTCGCTGAAATTGCAAATAACAAGCAACCAGAAACAAATGACAGCTAAGTCCGGGAGAAAATTTGAAAACAGACATATTCTTAAATTTCTATCATCTGCTTTCAAGATAGATTCTTGATTTAGATTTTTAAGCTAGATTGCTGAAAATCATTTCTTGCTTTTTAAGCTACAAAGTTACACTAAAAATTTCAGGTACCTAGCTCAAACCGTTCTCGACTTATCGTGATTACAGACAAACAAACAAACTGATGCAGACAGATAGTAGACAGACGCGAAACTTTTTGATCACTGGAGTAATAGGCTTCGCTGATCGCTCTGCTAAAAATCCCTTTTTCTCTTTAGAGAAGGGAACAAATTTCCTCGTGTATATTTTAGGTCAATTTCGTTGATTCAAGGCTAATTTCAAGGAAATTTCCTCGTTGCAAGGAAACATTTTTCTAGGTGTTGCGTGGAAAAGTACTCGTCGGCACGCCTGGATCGAGTTTTTCCCTTTCCCAAGTACTGCCCACGCCACACTGTAAAAAATATTCTGAAATTTAAGACCAAAATGGGTCACAATTTCTCTGTCAGCTTCCCCACGCCTAACCTCGTACCCGGCACAGGGTACGCCATCACGCCACGCTCCGCCATCTCGTCAGCTCCGCAGCGTATTGCAGACAGCACAGCCGTCCGAGTGACTGGCTGGCTGCGCGCTTTGCGAAGCCGCCGGCGGCCGGCCGGGGGCCAGCCGGTACAGCCAGCCGAAACGCGCTGAAATTCCGATCTCTAGCCGCCAGCCTAGGTAGATGTAAGCCCGGCACGTCGCAGTGTAACGATGTTTAGTGAGATATCGCGGAGCCTGTTACGCGAGATGTGGTCTTGCGCACATGTATTAGGTTTGGAATAGAGTGAATGTGACAAGAATTGTTTACTATACTCACAAGAGGGTTTCTTAGAGATCAGCTGTCAAGGACTAAAACATTTTTTATTTCGTTGCAGATGCGCACTTTTCTTGGTGTGATATCAAGCCGGGCGCCTGCCATTACATGCGCCGGATTCTGCCAGCTGACTCGTCAAACGGTTACAGGGGTAAGTAGTGTAGGGAGCAGGGGAGCACACCTGTGAAATGTAAGGGTTTGCAAGAATAGGGTATTTCGGGTAAGGGAAGAAGCGGAAACGGAACGGCCGAGCCGCTGCTGGACCCGTCTCAGCCTGCGAACTGCGCATGCGCAGTAGACGCTGCGTCG